CTGCTGTTGCTGGCGGCCGCCGGGCCCCGCCGCCGGGCCTCGCCGCGCCGTGACGCCCGGCGGGACGAGAGGTGAGCGGGGACGGAGTGGCGGGGACTCCGGGCCCGGTACAGGCGTCGCTGAGCGGGCCCGGTCCCCACGCGCAGGTACCTGGCGCGGATGGAGGAGCTGGCGGCCACCGACACGGAGGACGCGTCGCTGAGCTACGGGGTGGTGGTGGACTGCGGCAGCAGCGGCTCCCGGGTGTTCGTCTACGTGTGGCCGCCGCACAACGGGCACCCGCACGACCTGCTGGACATCCGGCAGATGCGGGACCGCAGCAGCCGCCCCGTGGTCATGAAGGTTAAACCCGGTGAGTGCGGCACCGAGCCCCGCTAATGGGTGGCGGCGCCGGGCCGGTAGGTGACAACCATGCACACAGGCATCTCGGTGGCAGCGGCGGCCCCGGAGCGAGCCACGGCCTACCTGCGGCCCCTGCTGCGCTTCGCGGCCGCACACGTGCCAGCGGGAAAGCACAAGGAGACGCCACTGTATGTCCTGTGCACGGCTGGCATGCGGTTGCTGCCTGAGAGGTGAGCACGGGGCGATGGGCAGGGAGGATTTGGCAAAGCTGCGAGATTCTGCTCTCTGCTGCTCTTGTCCTGACAAGGAGCATCTCCCAGAGGTCACTGTGCCCCTCAGGCTGCAAGCTGCCATCCTGGAGAACCTGGTGAAAAACGTGCCCCTGGAGTTCGATTTCCTCTTCTCCAAATCGCATGCTGAAGTCATTTCAGGGAAGCAAGAAGGTGGGAAATGCTGCCCTGTCCTCCTGTCCTCCCTAGCAGGGAGCACACAGGGCTGCCAGCATTGCGTGGAGCCTATGTAGGATCATTTGTGCTTTGCCTTAAGGCAAAATCTTTCTGTCATGCCCAGGTGTCTACGCTTGGATCGGAATCAACTTTGTGCTGGGACGGTTTGATCATGAGGATGGTGAGTCCAGCTGCTTGCACAGCAGCAGTGGGGAAGGCAGCATGCAGCCCTTTGACCCTCAGTTCCTATGTGCGAGGGGCGTTGGGAGGTACCAATAAAGGATGCCCCCCAGCCCCTCGCTGACACACTGCTGCGGGTTGCAGAGGAGGCTGCAGTTGTGACTGTAGCGCTGGGAGACCAGGTGGAGTCCTTGGTACGGAGACGAACGGTTGGGATCCTAGACATGGGGGGGGCCTCTCTGCAGATCGCCTATGAGGTGCCTGGCTCCGGAGCCTTTTCATCCCCGCAGCAGGTGTGTGTTGGGCAAGTGGCTGGCACTGAGAGCCGCCCAACGTTCACCACTCATGGTGGTCTCCTGTACCCAGGAGGAGGCTGCCAAGAGCCTACTGGCAGAGTTCAACCTGGGCTGTGACGTGCAGCACACCAGCCATGTGTATCGCGTCTACGTCAACACCTTCCTGGGCTTCGGAGGCAACTTTGCTCGGCAGCGCTATGAAGAGCTTGTGCTGAACCAGACCTATGTGCACAACCGGTATCGCTGCCCTGCCTCGGGCTGCCCTAGCATTGCACAACAGCACCGGCTCCTTTGTGCCACCCTCACCCCATTGGATTTTCCCCAAGAGCCACCTGTGGTTGATAACAGCTGCTACAGCCACGCTGGCAGCAGCTGGGTGCAGCAGGTGCTTGGGCTGGGACGTGGCACAATGGCATTGCCCTTGTCAGAGCCCTGCAGGCATTATCAGCGCCAATGCTTGTCACCTTTCCCCTGCCAGCACTACAGGGACTCCCCTACAGCAGCTTCTGGTTTTCCCTGCTCTGGCTTTCCCTCCTTCAGCACTGGCTCATTCAGCACATCTTTCCACTGCATTCTCACCTCCACTTGTCTCCTGCCTTATTTCCTGAAGCTGTTCCCAGACTTGCAGAGATTCAGAGCCCAGGTACATGGGAGTACCCATGGGAGAAGATCCTGCCACCACATGACCTGGGGTCTCTGTGGGGGCGCAGGCCCCCACAGGTTGGTGGGAACAGACTGTACCCCCATAGCACCCATCAGGTGCTCAGGGCTTGTGGCTACAGATCTGGAGAGCTTAGCTTCAGCAGGAGTTGGTTGGGTGATTCTCAGGACCACAAGTGTACAAGGGGACAGGGCCATGCAGTGGTATTAGTTGTGGAGGAGCACTAGCTAATATTTTTGTGGGTGCTACAGTACCCCATGTGCAGTGACCTTTTTTTCCTGACTTGCTTTACAGCTTGCATAGCCAGCAGACAGGGCTGAGCCCTGAGACTCCCTTCCTGGACCCCTGCCTGCCCATGGGACTGGACGACACAATTACAAGGGGCAGCCAAACACTGTATGTCCGTGGGCGAGGGGACTGGCAGGCCTGTGCTCTGCTGCTGCACCCACTTCTGGCGGGGTCCAACAGCAGCCAGGACTCTCTGATTGGGGCCTACAAAGCACCCATCGACTTCAGCAACAGTGAGTTTTATGGCTTCTCTGAGTTCTTCTACTGCACTGAGGATGTGCTGCGCCTAGGGGGCCGCTACAGTGCCCGTGCCTTCATCTCTGCTGCCCAGGTGAGCACTATTCCAGACCATGGGGTCTCACCATGCTGGGAGGGATCTGGGGTCGTTCCCTTGCTTTGAACTGAAACTTCTTTCCCTAGGAATATTGCAGCCAGAGCTGGGAGGTGCTGACCCAGCGCTTCCAGAGTGGCCTGTACTCAGCACATGCAGATGAGCATCGCCTCAAGTAAGGGACCAGGGATATACCTCCTGGGGGCTCACTGATAGGAGTGGCTGTGGTAGGCTCTGTCTTGGGCTCGGACCCTGCAGTAGCACCCAGATGATGTTCCTGTGTGCTGCCTGCAGGTATCAGTGCTTCAAGTCTGCCTGGATGTACCAAGTCCTTCACCAGGGCTTCCACTTCCCCCTGGACTACCCCAGCCTGCACACAGCCCAGCTGGTATATGACCGTGAGGTGCAGTGGACGCTGGGAGCCATCCTCTACAAGACACGCTTTCTGCCACTCAGGTAACACAGGAAGGAGCATTAGCTCCAGGACTTGTAGCCTAGCTGGAAGGAGTGTGCAGGAGTTACTGCACAAAGCTCTGCCATCCTTCGAGAGCAGCAGCTACAGCCTGTGGTACGTGTGCCAATCATGCCTGGTTATACCTCTCCACAGGGATCTCCGGCAAGAGAGCAGCCGGCAAGCACACACCTCCTGGCTGCGCCTTTCTTTTGTCTACAACCACTATCTCTTCTTTGCCTGCATCCTGGTTGTAGGGCTGGCTATAGTCCTCTACCTCTTGCGGCTGCGCCGCATCCACCGCCGGCAGCTGGACCTGCTCTGGCTGGATAAGGTGGTGCTGCTGCCCCCAGGCCAGGGGGACTTGCCATGATATCAGTGGGACAGTCACTGACCAGTTGCACCAGCAGAACCAGGACTGAATGCCAGCCAAGTCTCCAAGAACTTGGACTCTTTCCTGAGGACCATCTCAACTCTGTACTCTGTTATCTGTATGTCAGAACCACAGGCCACATGGCTGAGGCTGTTGTGGACATTGGAACCAGCCTCTCTGCCACAGCCCAGTCCTAATCTTTGTTTCTTGGCCTCTGACCTTTGCTTTGCTGCGCAGAGTAAAGAAAAGCCCTTTACTGGCAGCACTCACACTGCAGCCCTTGCTGGGCCCTCAGAGCAGAAGACATTACTGAGGCAGCCAGCTCAGGGCTGTGGCCTGAAGCCCCAGGCCATCCTACTGCTTAGCCACCAGTTTGCAGAGCAGGCTGGCAAAGTGCTGTAGCTTATCAGTGCCTGTTGTGGTCTTCCCATAGTCTTGGCACGGGTTCCATGAACCAGGCAAGCAGCAGGCTCCACTGAGCTGTTCTGCCAGGCCTGAGCCCACTCATAACATTCCCTGTCACAGTGAAGGGTCCTGCTGTGTGCCATGTGTGCCATGTGCTCCTCTGACACTCCCAGGCCATGCCTAAGGGGCAGCACTGAGGGTGCAGGGAATATTTTGTAAGGCTATGTTTCCTTTTAGTTGTTCCCTCCTAAGTGTGCTCCCTCTGGGGCATGCCATAAGCTAATCCAGCACTAAGTGCAAGGACCAGTGGTTCTTTCCCTCTTAGTTCAGGCTGAGCCTGCCTGTGGGGAAGCCACCTCTCTGTAGCTATGCATCCCTCGTGCATGGCCTTCGTCTAATAGGCCTGGAGCCCCAATTCCCCTAATCAAGTTCTTCCTTCACTTTATACTTGAAATCATCTGTTACCATTCCTGAAGCAATAAAAAAAACCTTTGAGCCAACCAGCAGTTGTCTTGTTTTTGAGTGAGCACCAACCCAGCAGCAGCAGCTCACAGCTGGGAGCCTGACTGCTGCCTGTACTCTTCTGCTTAGTAGTGCTCCATGCTGCTGGGTCTTGCAGGTGGTATGCAGCAACACTGCTTTCTTGGCAGATGCTGCTTTCTGCACAACTGAGTTCAGTAATTGAGCCAGTGGTAGCAAGGGAAACTGACCCTCCTGAACTGTGGATCTAGGGATCCCGCACTCCCTGCCTTCTTCTTCCTAAGAAAAAACAGTTGAGCTGTCCCTACAAGGCTCTGGAAGGTGTAGCTCCCTATCTGTTTGTTTCTTTTTTAAACCTTATTCATACCCCAGCTTTAAGGAACTGCTAGAACAGGGCAGAAGGCAAGACATGGGCAATAGGCCTCCAAGCTGCTACAGCTTCTGCACAGCCACAGAGATGGCCCAGAGCAGCTCAAGGCACAGCTGCCTATCAGCCTCCCTCTGGGACATGCTGCTACTTATCTGTGACCCTGACTTCAAAGGGCTGTACAGGTGGCGTCCAAGGTACCTTTACCCCCAGGTAAAGCCCTGCACACATGATGCCAACCTCTTTATAACAGCTGTTGATCTGTCTTATTCTCACTGCAGGAGCAGGGTTAGAAGTAAAGGTGGGAAAAGAAAAAAAACAAACCATGAAGCCCAGAATTCCTCAGCCTCCAAGCAGCAAGGGACTGCTTCCAGCATCACTTACTAGAAAAAAATATTTATTTCCACAACACGCGGTCAGCAAACACAGACAAATACAAATAAATAAATAATGCCAATAAATTATCTGATAAATAAGGGGCAGACCTAAGACAATTCAATATTTTGTTCTTGGAATGTAGACACAAGAGGGATGGTGGTACCTACATACTACTGCAGCACCCTCACTGCATGGTGGGAGATGACACAGTCTCAGGCTGGGCACACTGCTGAGCAGGAGCCACTGCCCAAGACCCCAGCACCTCCCTCACATCCATGGCAGCCTGCCTCCTCCAACAGGCTCAGCCTACCCTTCTGCCAGCCACAGCTAGAGCCTGTCTTAGCAAGGACCACCCCCAGCCAAGCAGGGACCGGTCACGTGCAGGGTGCCACGGGGCCCACGTTGCAGCAGGGACACTGCCGGCCAACAGCGTGGGCCCAGCCAGCGCTGGGCTGCAGTGCTTGAAGTGCACCGGGGGAACGGCTCTATTCCCTGGCTCAGCACCTCTGGGAGCTGCCTGGTATGGGAGGGAAGATGCTCGAACAGCAAGAGCTGGAAGGAGGAGAAAGGGGGAGATGTTAGCACAGAGCTGCACCGGCGGCCCCACGCTGGGCTCAGCGCTCCATAGCCGCTATGTGCCGGAGCCAAAGCAGCTCCCCCCCAGCTCTGCCCACTCACGGTAATGGCGGGTCTCTAGGCTGCTGCCGGGGTCACTCCCAGAGGAAGCGCACGTACCAGATGGTCTCGTTCTTCAGCTGCGGCCCGAAAAGGGGGTTGGCCTGGGCCAGGATAGCGATGAGCCAGCTGCAAGGGACGCGAGCGTGAGCCCCGGCGGCACGGGAAGGGCCCACTGGGGCCCGGGGCCCGACGTCCGCCCCGAGGCGGGGCCCACCCGCCCGCTGGAAGCCGGCCGCGGTCAGCAGGCCCGGGAGGCCGCGCGGGGGTCGGGGCGGAGCTGAGCTGGGTACTCACAAGAGGTAGCAGCACACGGCCGTGGTGACCAGCATCGTGATGATCACCCTGCGGGCGGAGACACCGTCACGAGGGAAGGCTTCGCCGCGGCCCTCCCCTCCCCTCCCCTCCGGCCCGGCCGGCCGTACTCACCCGCGGTTGGGCCCCTTGGGCACGAACCACGGGGCGGCGATGCCCACCAGGCCCCAGAAGGCCGAGAAGAGGACGATGGGCAGCGCGAAGCTGTGCGCCGTCATGGCCGCTCCCGCCGCCGCTCACCCGCACCCACCGCTCGGGATGAAGTCCCGCCCACTGCCGCGGGCGGCGGCCAATCCGCGTAGAGAGCGCGGCGCGCTGACCGCCCTGCCACCTCCTACTGACGGACGGGCGCTTAGACCGCCTCACCGGCAGGGGGCGCCGCAGCGCGGCATCAGCCCGAACCCGACCGCCCTCCCCCTCACCTCGCTCCGCAAGCACGCACACACCGGCAGCTCCATAAAACTCCTTTATGTTACACGGCGGGAACGCACCGCGCACCGTCGCCGCCGGGAAGTCAAGCAGCTGAGGCCCGCGGGTCACTTGGGCACGCGCCGCAGCTCGCTCATGAGCCACAGCGCCGCGCTGAGCAGCGCCAGGGAGCCCGACTGGTGCGTGGCGGCCAGCGGCGTGGGGACGTAGAGCAGCAGCGTGCTGATTCCCAGGCACACCTGCGGGAAGGGAGGAAGGTCAGCACGGCTGTGGCTGCACGCTGCCCAAAGCGTGAGGTGAGCAAGCCCGAGGACAGGCCTCCAGCCTTCGTGTGGGGCTGTAGCGCTCCGGCTCCCAGCTCCAGCCTCAGGGAGTGCAGATCATGCACTGCTTCCACATCAAGGCAGCCTCCCAGCTCTTGTCTTGTGGATGTGCTGTGAAGGACTAGGAAAAAAAACTGAACAGGAAAAAAAAATAAAATATAAAAGGACAGTACCTGCACCCAAGCCACTGTCAGTAAGGATGTCACTGCCATCCTGGTCCTGTGAGGGAGGGAGATCTTCCGTGAGAAGAAGTACAGTGCTGTGACGGCTGTGACTGAGGCAACTCCCTAAAAACGGAAGAGATAGGACAGAGAAACAACCACCTTTCGTGAGAAGTTGAAAGGAAATCGGCCAGATATCTTTGACTGCACCTTCCATGCAATAAAACATTGCTCACTGAACTTACTTAACTTTAGAAACATGTTAATGGCCACCATCACATGCTGCAGATTCCATGCCCCAACCAGTTAACAGCCCTAAAAATATAAGCTATGTTCCATTTTCTGAATGAATGCCTTGCTTTCCCAGTAGCTTTTCCTTATTTATTCTGTTTGATAGGAATTATTTCTGCCTCCATCCCACCTGTCACCTTCGCAGTGAAAGGTGGAAGCTGTCAGCTGGAATCCCGATCTCGTTTTCGCTACCCAGCTATAGCTTACCATCATCATCTCATTGCACAGATCACCTCACAAGTCCCCTACCAAAACTCTTTATCTTTCCATTTTATCTTATCAAGCTATGGCTTGGTCCAAAGCAATGTCAGCAGAGCTGTTTAATATCCAAATTGCTCTAACTAGCTGAGATTTCTTTCACAGGGCACTACTGGTGTAAAGGAACTTAAGTTCTAGAGGAAATGTCACTGTTGAGTGGTGTCTGCTTTCAAGTTTTATTTCAGGCAACATCCTCAGACATTTCCATTGCAAAGGCTACCCTGATTTGTAGCATGTGGAAAATGAGACACAAAGAAATGACGTCTGTAACTCGGACAGGAGGAAGACATCCTTAAGGAAAAAAACCACATTAAAAAAAAAAAAAAAAAAGAAATGAGTGCTAACCTTCCTCTTTCTTGAGAAACAAATTGGTAACAAAGCTCTCAGGACCTTGGACACTCTGTACATCACTCATGCTGACAGAACCATAGCCTGAAGATGACAGTTTGGATGTAGGAGGCAACCAGGAGGAAGCTTAGACATAGCAGGAAGACAGCACTTACCAAGATCCTGTGATCAAACTGTACAGTTGTAGGATTCTCAAAGATATTTCTCAGGGTTGGGGAGAAGGCGAGAAGATCATCTGGGATCCAGCGTTCCCCCATTTTGGGGAAGGAATTGTACACAAGGCCAGCATCCAGCCCTGCCACAAAGGCACCTGCAATTCCAGAGCAGAGAACAAGACTAATGAACTGGGTACAGGTGGCACCCCAGGCTGCACAGCTCTTATGTCCGACCTGACTCAAGAACTCAGCTCGATCCCAAATTTCTTTTGCATTATGTACAGAGATCTTACAACAGTATGCATACTGCTCAGCACATCTCCACCGGCTCAAGAGGCCAGTAAGAGAAGGTCTTAAATAAGCTAACTGAAAGTTCACACAGAGAAAGTGATAGGGCTCCTCTCACTCCCCATCAGATCAGAAGAAAAGCAGTGTAGAGAGAGACAAGCCACAAGACAGGACAGCATTACCTGAAAGAGCTGTAAGAAAAATGAGAGCTGTTGTGCCATGAGCAAAGTGCCTCAGCCGAAGCAGCTGACGTGTCTCAGGCAACTGTAAAACAAAAAATGAACTGCAGTAAAAAATTCCAGTGCTGTTTACAACAGGTAAAAAAAGCTTTATTTACATATACAGGCTAATGGTTTGCCAAGTATTTCATGAACAATTGAGTCCAACACTGTGCAGAAACTGAAGTGGCCGCTGGGAACTTACTGTAAGAAATAATTGAACCTGGCAGGCAGGCTCCTGCCTGAATTTGCATGAACGCTTGAGACTAATCACTATTCAGTGGAACCACAAAGTCAAATCCAGCATCTCATAATTGTTGCAGAATACAACAGTTCAGAAGAAGCTAAATAAGAAGTTTCTATAAACTTCTAGTGGTGTTAAGATCACAGTCAGAAATAGGATAAAATGGAAGTAACCATTATCCTCCACACATTTCCTTTACCCCCAACCCTCTGTGTTTTACACTATGCTGTGCCTGGACTCCTGACACATCACTTTGTACCTGGTGTCGTGGAAGCAGCAAAGACAGCCCCGTCCACAGACTGGCAGAATAAAGAACCAGTGCAGAGCCAAGGTGTGCTGCGAGGCGGTACTGGCTGACCCGAGGAATATCATAGGAATCTGGCTTCTCTTCCAGTCCACTCTTTACCATGTACCATCCCAGTAGACCCTGACATGACAAGAAAAGGTAAGAGCCAGCTCCCCTATCCCATGCGTCAGTAAGAGGAGCCAAGGGCAGCCCTTCACATTTGCCTTAGCACAGACAGGGCAGCAACAATCTCTGATTTTAGCAAATCAGAGAAACGTTAAAGTCAAAACAATTTCTTTCTTCCATCTCCAATCTTCTTCTATCTATCAGCACTGTCACACCCCACCCAAACTTTCACACATTTGTCTCAACAATCAGGAGATACGGAACACACTGCAGCTATTCCCTGCAGCTGCACAGCTCTCACCTGGAAGCACACAAGCCCACAGAGCGCAAGCACACGGCCCTTCATGGGGCGGCTGAGCCAGCCCTTCCTCCAGAAGTAGGCAGCAGGAAGGATGTAGGCCAAGCCCACCACACGGCCCCACATACGGTGTGAGTACTCCATGTACCAAATGAACTTGAACTCTGTCAGAGTCATGTCATGATTCAGACTGTGAGGGGTGTAAAAACAAAGAGTGGTTTAAGGCAGTGCTACTGTCCTGCTTCATGCTTCCCATAGTGATGGATGAGGGACAGGAGGGGGACCGCCTGCAATCGCTACCAGATGCGCTGTGTGCTTCGCTCAGTGTTAGGGAATGTTTACATTTGCATGAGATGCTCATGCTGCCTGTTTGCAGGACCAGTACCCCCAGCCCACTGCCCCACCTCTGAGCGCTCACATTTTGAACTCTGGGAACTGTTGGTACTTCTGGAATTCCGCTTCCCACTCCTGCTGCGTCCCGGGGGGTTTCATTTCCTTCACCAAGTGCCAGTCCACCATGGATAGGCCGGATTCTGTCAGCCTGCGGGCAGACAGAAGCAGCACAGCTCACCCCACAGAACCGAGAGCCGCTGGGTACAGCAGACAACCCTTAAGCTAAGAGCTAGAAACGGGGAGCTTAGGGAGGACCGACGGACAAAACAATACAGCCGGGTCCCCGCTCTCACCTGGTTACGCCGCCCAGTACTACGGCACCCGCCACAGCGCCGCTGCAGGCGAGCAGCCATCGTCCGACAGCGGGCGGGACAGCGGGGGCCGGCTGCTGCGGGAGGCAGCGGCGCGGAGGCCGGCGGAGAGGAACGAGCGAGAGGCCGGGACGGAAGAACCGCCCGCCTCCACCGCACAGCACCCGCAGCATCCCGAGCGAGCCCGGAAGCGGCGGCCGCCTAGCGGAAGCGAGATGAGCGCTTCCGGCCACCTCCGGGCGTCACCATGACAATTCCGCGGCACGTGACCCAGAGCCAGCAGCGACCCCCGCTCGCTGCCAGCGCAGGTGAAGGCGCGTGAGACGGGGGCGGGGCCCCGGGCCGGGGCGGGGGCGGGGCTGCGGCGGAGGGAGGCGGGGCTCGGCCCGGACACGGCGCATCGGCCTCGCCCCCTCGCGGCCCGGGGCCGGTGACGAAGGGCGCGGGGCTCCGGGCCGCGAGGGGGCGAGGCCGGATGCCGAACGCGGGGGGCGGGGCCTGAGGCGGAAGCGGGCGGGGAAGCTCGGCGGGAGGCCGCGAGGCAGCCGGGGGCCGCCATGGGCCGAGCCGGGCCGATCGCGTCGTTCCTTCCTAGGCATGGACGATGGCTTCCTTATGGAGGTGTGCGTGGACTCAGTGGAGTCTGCCGTCAACGCGGAGCGTGGAGGTGAGGCCTGAGGCCCGGTCCGGTTGGCGGGAGCGGGGTGAGGGCCGAGGTCAGGTGTGACCGCCTCTCCGCAGGTGCCGGCCGGATCGAGCTGTGCGCGGGCCTGGTGGAGGGAGGAACCACCCCGAGCATGGGTGAGCCGCGCGGCCCCACGCCTCTCCGTTCTCGCTGCGTTCTTCTCGAGACGCGCCCCCTGGGGGTGCCGCCAGCCCTTCTGTAAGCCCGTCTCCTCCCCCCATCCCGTTTCTCCCCCCAGGGCTCCTGCAGGTGGTGAAGCAGTGCGTGAGGGTCCCTGTGTTCGTCATGATCCGGCCTCGCGGCGGAGATTTTCTTTACTCAGACCGAGAGGTGGAGGTGATGAAGGCTGACATTCGCCTGGCCAAACTGCACGGTGCGGATGGGCTGGTCTTCGGGGCCCTCACTGAGGATGGACGCATCGATACGGAGCTCTGCACAGCATTGCTGGGTGAGAGAATCCCTGCTTGTAAATGTTGCTCTAAGTGCCGCTTGATTTCTTTGCTGTCACCAGGGATGGTAGCTTTGTGCTGC